AATTTTATAATAAAATATTTTTATAAAATATAAAACGAGCCGAACCGAGCCGAGCTCGAGCTCAAGATTCTGACTCAAACCGAGGTTGAACTCGTACTCGAGCCTCGTAGAATAGTCTCGAGCCGAGCTCGAGCCTGGCACTATTCGGCTCGGCTCGGCTCGAATCCACCCCTACCTGCGCCTTTTGAATCTTTTTCTGTGTAGTGGTGGTTGAAAGTAGAACTAGAGCCATTTCTGTTGATATACCGGAGAAAGAAACAAGGGGGGATTAAAAAAGCAAAAGACAGAAGAAAGGGAAAGCAAAAAATTTACAAGCTTTTTTGCCATTTACCTGTTAATTCTCATCTGATCTTGGTGTCTCCTTTTTGATCATGAAGCTTGTTTTTATGTGGGTTCCGGTGAAGAGTGAATGAGCGATTATTATCGTTGAAACCGAGGAAGAAAATGTTCATATCCATTAAGGAAAAAGCAAGAGTATAGGGGGAAAGGCAGTTTTTTCCTTGTTCCGTTATGTTGCATGATGGAGGTTACGGAGGTTTAGGAGAAATTTTTATGGAGCCGATTCGGGGCTTTCTGTTTCTGGTTGTTGGATAGGTGGAGACTTTGCTAGTGTCACCATCTTTTGTCTATTCGGGGCTTACAAATCTTATTTCTTCCCTTCTGTTCTGCAGAGGTTGTTTGTAGAATACTACCTTCTTCGATCGATGGCCGTTTATTGAGTTAATATTTTGCTTCTGGGTTTACTCCCAAATTAAAATTTTGCTTCATTATGTTGTTCAATTCTACAAATCTATCCAATCAAATGAAAAGAAATCTCATTTTATCCCCCTGTTTTTCGATTCTCCAGAGAAGTTTAGACTTCTGACAATCTGATAAAGGAGGTTATGTTGAGGAAGCGATCGAGAGCGGTGACCAGTAAGCAAGTTCTCATGGATCATGGCTCTCTTCCATCTCCCAAAGATAAATTCATAAGGCCCACTTTGTCCTTCTTCAGTTCTCCAAGACTCTTCACTGCTTTATCCAGGAAGGGTTTTTCTGAAATTGAAGCTGTCATGAACCCAACTTCAATAATTATAGTAAACCGTTCTTTGGTCTTGGTAACCCTTTCTGGTCTGATAGACTTTCTGTTAAATCCCCAGAACCTTCTTGGAAAGCAAGCACCCATGGGAAAAGTTAGACTCAAGAGGCATTGGTCTTGGTATTATCGACGCCCTCAATGATGAGAAAAGTGAGAACAATTTCTCCAAACCTGAAAGCCGAATGGTTCTGTTTGGATCACAGCTGAAGATTCAAATTCCTCCTCTTCCACCCTTCGTGCTTTCTTCTGCTGAATCCCCCAAATCTACTCCTGAGTTCGGCATCAAGACTCGAAATTCACAAACTTCACAATTGTATTCCTTCTCTTCTGGCTTATCGCCTTTGTCAAGGAAATCTGCATTTGGGTCTGCGAGTTTTGGCCTCAAAGCACCCGCCTCTCCTAAAATTTTCACAGGTTCTCTTTCTCCAAGTGAGATGGAGCTTTTAGAGGATTATACTAGTGTAATCACCCATGGGCCTAATCCAAGAACGACTCACATATTTGATAACTGCATTGTGGAGAGTTGTTGTGGTGTTGTTAGTTTGTCTGCATTTAGGAAGGAGAACAGTTTTTTCACTGATTGATCGAGCTATCCTTTTGAGGATTTCCTTAGCTTTTGTTACACTTGCAAGAAGAATCTTGGACAAGGGAAAGACATTTACATGTACAGGTGAGCTTTTTGCCACAGAGACGACGACATTGAATACGAGCTATGGAGGAGCTGCTCGGCTGAAAAACCTTTCTTTTGGTTGTGGGTTCAACGCCTTTGGTCCGAGTGTTTTAGTGCGAGCTTCAATGGCGCCCATGGACAGTGTTTTTCTCCTACGGCTGTTCGTGAATGTGAAGTGGGGAAGATGAACAGTATTTTTTCTCGTTACAAGGTAGTATGGAGATTAAAAAATATTGTAAGGGCGGATTTCAAGTGAAAACTAAGGAAGGGGGTCTTTGTCTCACGGTCATAATACGGGGGGTCTTTGTCGCAAAACAAAATAGAGGGGTCTTTATCACAGAACCCATAGTACAAGGGGTCTTTATAATTTACAAACATCATATTATCATTATTTTTAATTTTTTAATGAACAAGGTCCATGGGTAGAATAAGGAACTGACCTTGATGGATAAGTTCTAATTCTGAAATTCTGGAATTAACCTAGGTAAGTTCAAGGTTTCTACTTGGAACTTAACCAAACCAATCTATACTCACCCTAGTTAGCAATAGACAACTTTTTTTTTTTCCTGATAATCTAAAGAGATATATATAGAGAGAAATTAAAGGTTTGATTATTTTACCCCCCAAAAGAACTCTCCCTGTCTTTGACCGGGTGGGGGGTGGATACAACTAGAAGAAAACAGTAAAGGGGACAAAACCGAAACAACTGCAACTCAAAAACATCAACCAACAACAAAGAGAACTAACAAACAAGACAGTTAACTCGGTCCCCTGCCCCCTCGCGAAAAAAACCAATCCAGGAGATCCCTCGTCCTTCAAAACTTTCCAACTTTTGTTTTTTATTTTGTTTGGGTAGAGGTTACTAGAAATGTTAACGAAGCTAAAGCTCATATCAAGGTCTTCAACCAGCTTCAGAATATCCTTTATAACCAAGTTTAAATCAATCAGACGGTATGGAGATGGCTTAGAAAGCCCTTTACAATCCGATTCCAACACGCGAACAGATGAAGTCCAGATATCGGATTGACGTGCCAAAATCAGCCCTTTATAACTAAGTTTATGATTAATTTATCAATAAATTGAAAAAGCAACTTTTCAAAAAAGTTAGAATATTACTTGATTTAATTAAAACGAATACTTACTGGTAATCAAGAGATTAATAATGCAAAACAGAGTTTTTCTGATAGAGCATCAAAATGGAGATTAAAAACATCCATTATTACCGATTATGTCTCGTACATCATCTCTATCCATACATCGCATATCATATATTACAGGTCTCAGCTTCAGAATGAAATCTACACACAGAGATAATACTGGAACCGTGTTGGGATAGTTTTTTTTTTTTGAATAAATTCCATTTATCGCGTCTGTTTGAGAATTGAGATATCAATACTGCCAGAAGGGCAGTTAGGATGCACGTGGCTCTTCTTATTTTAATAATCACAAAAACACACAAGTATCGCATTCCAACCTCAATTGTGTCCTTACCAAGTACCAACAGCACAAGATGTATAAATTATACATGATAGGACCAACTGAAACCAATCGCCGGTGCCTTTGCATACAACGAGTCAAATACATCCAACGAAAAGTAGTTGACCAAATCAGGCAATCACTGGTGTAATCCCCCTACACGTACTTTCTGATAATCCCACACGTGTACGGTGATAACTCGATCTGACTTTCTTCTTTCTCCCCTCTTCGGTTTCTATTCGTATCTGTGTGATAACCCTATTTTTTATTAGGGAGGTGATCTGATAGAGATGTAGATGTTTGGTTTGGCGATGACTTTTTCCGCCACCACCCAGGCTTAGAAGAATTTATTATTACTGTTGTTATTTATAAAATGCAAAATATAAAATATAATAAATATATTATCCTTTTCATTGTTGTTATCACAAGGGGAAGTTGCTCGTTTCAGCGAGGCCGAGACAATTCTTCTCCCGTGTATCACCTTACCTCATGCGCTGACATCGACTGAAAAAGGTAAATTCTTCTCTGGGTTTATTATCTTGTTCTGGAAATATTTGTTGAACCTTCATGTCTATCATACTCCATGGACCCTACCCATTGGTGCCTTAAGATTAGACGTCCATCACCTCGGTAAACTTCATCCTCCTCCGTGATTCTATTTTACCTAAATTGCTTCCCAATGGATTGCCTCTTGATGTGATGTTTGAGCATATTTTCCTACCAATTAAATTAATGCAAAAGATAAAAGATAAAGAACATTCCTATTTTTTACATAACATGCTACATTAACTCAACTCGGCCACCAATGCAGATGCAGCACACTTGATTTGGATTATAATCCGCAAATGTAGTTAAATTGCATCTCTAGTGATGATTGGGGGAAGAAGAGAAGAGAAACATTTGACTTTGACCATGCTCTTGAAAAATTGATAATACGTAGTCGTAGGTAGAATCAACCATTTGTTCGAGACTTCGAAGAGACGTAACATCATCCGTTGAGATCCATCCAGCCTCAATCGCATCTTTACCCTTTTTGATTGGTCAAAGTTGTATGGGTATTATACTTTTTGGGCATCGTAGAGTCATAGTACGGAGCGATTCCGAGGAGATACATGTTGGGCGGTCCCATTCTTCTCAAAGCCTCCAAAAATCTTTTCAGACTGGTGCTGTGCTGAAATGTCAGCGCCGGAGGCACGTTTGGATGGGGTCGGAAGTCGGATGATAGGGTCCGACCAGAAAAATGATGGTCTTCAGTTCAGGAGCCCCTCACCTTTCACACTGGTTCATTATTTGGTTAGATGGAATCGAGTGTTTTTTTTTGTTGTTGTTCGAGTAAACGGCCAACGCCATTAGGCCAACCACTGACTGACTAACGCGTTCTGGTCTTCTGGATTCGAACTCTGAGACGGGAGTTTTACAAGTGCAAGTAATAAAAGTAAGCAAACGTGAAAAACGCGTCTTCTCATTATAGTGTTAATAAATGTAATTAGGACAGGACAAATAAAATTTAATAGAAAAATTAGAAGGTAAAGAAAAGGAAACTAACGTACCAAATACAGCCAAGTAATGGAAACGGTCGGTGTAGAATTTTATAGAAAGTGGGGACTGGGGAGGGGACTTGGGAGGAGGAAGAGTGCGAGAGAAAAAGAAGAAAAATATAAAAGAAGTAATAAATAATCGCCTTCAGTTCGAAGCTGATTGAGGAAACGACTTCCATTTTCTATTTTTTTTTTTAAGTTTTAAATAAATTTATTTATAAAGAAAAAGAAAAAATACAACAAAGGCCGTGATTGTGGAGAGATATATGCCGTGCCGAGAACCGAAACTCCCGCGCTCTGCATAGAGATTCCCGATTTCCCATTACATATACTTAAAAAAGAAATAAGAACACAGACACTCTCTCTCTCTCTCTCATGCTTTTCACTTGGAGTCGTCGTCTCTTTCTCTCTTGCTATTTCGTTCTCTTTTAGCTTCTGTTTTGGTATCTAGCCTGGCGTTCTCTCTCTTTCTCTCTCACACACACACGCACACAGACTCAATTCATTTATTCTCGATTTTTAACGTTTTCTTACCGCAGATCGTCTCCTTCTCTATTTAATCACCCGCCGTTCGACATCCTTAGATCCGTACACCACCCAATGCCTCGACTTTGACCGATCGCGATCGGATAATAGTCGTAGCGCGCGCATGGGGCAGTGCTACGGCAAAAACATTTCCGTCGCCGAGGATGACACCACCGCCGGCGGCGTCACTGCCGTCAATCGCCCGCAAACACCGTCAACGTCTACAGCCGCCAACGGCACCATCAACGTTCCTTCTGTTAAAAACACACCTGCTCACTCCTCTACCAGCGCTTGGCCAAGTCCATACCCTCCCGGTACTAGTCCACTTCCCGTTGGGGTATCTCCGTCACCGGCCAGGCAGACTCCTCGAAGATTCTTCCGCAGGCCTTTTCCTCCTCCTTCGCCGGCGAAGCATATCAAGGCGTCTATTGCGAAGCGTCTGGGCCCACCAAAGCCCAAGGAAGGGCCGATTCCCGAGGACGGCGCGGATGTTGAGCGGCCACTAGATAAGAGCTTCGGTTACGGGAAGAATTTTGGTGCCAAGTACGAATTGGGGAAGGAGGTTGGCCGTGGCCATTTCGGGCATACATGCTCGGCTAAGGGCAAAAAGGGAGAGCTCAAGGGTCAGGTTGTGGCTGTGAAGATTATCTCCAAAGCTAAGGTTCGATCGTTTTCTCTTGATTGTATCGGACGATTTTTATTTATTCTGATAAGCTGAGTTTGCTATCGGTATTTGCTGTATTTTGATTAATTGCTGAATACTTTAAGTCTTTCATCCCTTGAAAGCTTACGGCGGAGCTCATTAGGACATTGAAATTACTAATCATGATGGTTAACACATCTTTCTTTTGCAAGTTCAAATAGGTTGCCGTATAAAGGCTTTGATTAAGGAATACATATATTGATTCACTCCTTCGTTGTCCAAGTTGGTTGTGCGGGCTTACTTTTCCGCTGTGGATTAATAGACAGCATTTGGCCTTAGTAAAGAAATCTTAGAACTCATCTAAGCCTTCCTCGGCTACATGAATCATGTTTTTTCACGCCGTTCTGTTCAATACTATATCCATTCTTAAACTACGGACTCATAAATAATTTATCACTACTTCAACCAAATGTCCTTTTGATGTTAATTGTGAATGCTCATTGTTAAGTTGTGTCAGACTCTGATTTAACAAGATGAGATTTCCAGTGAATCCTGATTCCTAATTCTTCCATTATCATGTTAACAAGTATTCATTATTTCCAATGGATTTAGTAAGAGTAAATAATTACCTATAGCTCATTTTTAAGTTTGAAATGGTAATGGAGCAGCTGGTTTCTAATGATGCTCAAAGAATCCTTATTTAAATGTGCAAAGGATATTTTTCATATTGTTATTGCAAATCATACCTGTTGGATTAGATTGAAGGAGATTGAGAATTTCTTTTATTTTCTTCTCTTTTTTTTGAGGAGATTGATAGTTGTCCTATCAAATTCTTCTGGAATATGTTGATACCTCTTACTGTACCAAGACAGTAGAGAATTATTTTACAGGTGTAACAACATTGAGGAGGCGTATGTGCTATAATTGTGATTGACTATTTGCAATTTTTTTTTCTCTCATTGATGTACAAGTTGTTAGAGAGCTGGATCACTATTGATGACTAAGTGCACTTTGTATGTTGCAAACTTGTAACAGTTCCTTTTTCCATTTTTGTTTGAATTTACTACAGCATATCTCATGTAATATCTCAGTGACATCTAATTGACAGAAAACTAAAGAACTGAGTAAATCTAGATAATAAATGATATTTCATATTACCCATCTTAGAATATGATTTGTTTATTATAAATTAAATATCATATATTATTTATGGTCCATGTTTCTCTTTGAGTTTGCTTGCCTGCTAATCTCCCTTCTAGTTTTTTTTTTTTTTGATTTACTTGTGTGGGATTAGAACGATTTACATGGTTGACTTATTTTATTAGTATCATTCATACATTAGTTTATAATCTGACATGAGTTGAACAAAACAAAGGGTAAAATATAAGAATTACATGTTATGGATGATCGCTTTGGTTGCATGGACCCTTTTTGATTTCGTTTAATTTTCTTGAATCATGCAATGTAAAATGATGTACAAAAGCACACACTCACTTGTGTGAAAAATGTCTTGATATGATTCCTTGTTGTTGTAGGATATATAAGAAACTTATGTTTTCTTTTTCTCTAGAAAATGACTCATCGTGGTATTTCAAAAACCTTAATATGGTCCCTTAGGCTGTGTATAATTTGATGGAAAACAAGGGAGAAGTAGAAAGTTCTTTAGGGGTTTAACAAGATTTGTTAATATCTTCCCCTCAAGGCCTCAACTTTCTATTTCTCTATTATTTTCTATCAAATCAAACATAGCCTTAGAAAAATAATAAAAGAAATCTTTAGTATTGACCCTATAATTTTAATAAGACTTCTTTAAGAATCAACTAGCTCTAAACGCAACCAATTTAGTTTTAAATATGAACATTCATTTTAATTTGTTTTAAATGATGATGCTTATAATTTGTTTTAAATACAGACATATGGTCTCATTGGTTAGAAAAAAAGATGCCTCTTTCCATTGATCAAAAAAGAAAAAAAAAAGAAGTCTCTTTTCCAAACTTTATATAACCAATTTCAAGGTCCCATGCGATTTACTTAGATTTATGGCCAATTATTAATTCTTACAGAAAAACTTACACAATTATTAGTTTATGACCATATATACGATATATAAAGTGGATACTTGCCTCAGCTCCTTTGAAGGCCGCATAAGTTAAGTCAGAGTATTTACTAGCATCATGTTGTATAAGGTTTTGTCATTTTGACCCTTTCTTTACTTCTGCACGTGCATATATATAGTCTCTTTTAGTTACTTAAATAAAGCAACTTACCATCCAGATACTATTACTTGTTACCTGAAAGAGAACAAAATTTCATTTGTTGAAGATCATACATCTCTCTTTTAGGAGTAATTAGATCATAAAATTACAAGAGAAATGAACTATTTTTGAGGGAACTAACAAAACATAACAGTCTATTCTAGTAATTGTAACTTATAATCTATATAGATTTAAAAAAGAAGCAATGTTTTCCCTAAAAAGTTACATTTGCAACTTAGAAATACTAAAGTTGCCCATCCATTTCTCCTTTTTTTTTTTCTTCTTGAACAAGTAAAAAGTGATACATATTCCATCTAACTGAATGTATACATAGGAAAACATGAAAGAACAATCCAAGGGAAACATTCTAAAAGTTTTTTTTTTTGGTGAATTCTGCTATTCAAGGACGAAAGGTTGTATATCCCCTCTGTACAGTTCCTTGGTGTACACAGGGTCCTTTTGGTATTAATGAAAATTATACTTTATCTTTTCCAAAAAAAAAAACATTATATTTTCAATGACATCAATCTTGGAATATCTAGTGTTTCCCATGTAGAATGAATGGTGTGATTGGTAATGATCTATTCCTCTCTTGTTTCAAGTTGTGGCTGTTCGGAACCAATTTGTCGCTCTTTTGTTTCTTGTTAGACTCCACTTGCTAGGTTGTTAGTGATCTTTGAGTCTAATTCTTTACCTCTTGTCCTGATAGAGGTTACGTCTAGCATGGAAATGATGGTAACATCTTGATTAACCCAGTGATTATAAGAGTGGCACATTGGGTATCTGCAACTGAAGAAGTCAAGGGAGTAAACTTGCATGCCATTCTTAGAGGGTGCCAAGCCGTTGCTGCCTTTCCTCCATAAATGTGGCAGAAGAATGGGCCCTCTTTCATTCTTATCACTGTATGAGTGTTTCCTTATAAGGACCAGTGAGATGATTGCACATTAAAGGGTGGTCGGTATCAGATTAATAAGAAAATTTAACAATGAACAATAAACAGAGTCACCACCAAAGTTGGAATCCAATCTAAGATGGACTTTTTTTTTGAACAAGAAAAACGGACTCATTTTTTGTTCACCATTAAGTTTCCTTCTTAATCTGACATGGACATCCTTTGATGTGCCTTCTTCTCATTGGTCTGTCTGTATGAGGGAGCCAGTCACACAAACATATGACCAAAAGAGAACTTCAGACTGATAAAAAATAGAAGGAACTCCTCCAGAAATTGGCAGTATAAAGCTAAGGTTTGATGGTTTCTCTATGGGAAACCCAATGTCATTCCGATTGGGGTTGTTTTAGGGATTGTCTTGGAACTGTTTTACATTATTTGTAGCCAATTGGGGATGGAAACCCTTCAATGGTAGAACCTTTCTTGCTTGCAAGGCCTTAGCTTGATTTCTCTTCAGAATGGACTGTTATGATTGTTCAGGGTGATTGTAGTGCAGTAATTGTCAGAATATTGGAAATTCTGAAGGGGCTTAAATTTAAGATACCAGATTAGATAAGCAGAAGCTTTGTCTTCAAGCTTGAATTGCTTATTCATGTGGATATCAAGAATTCAAGATCACCAACAATGTCTTTGATGCTTTTGCCAAAGAGGGAGTGGCAAGAACTTCTCTTGTATGGGTGTGGTACTAGGGCCCAGGATACAGTCAAGAAGCTAGTGTAATTCGCCTTTCCGATTTCTTTGGGTCAGAAAATGCTGGTTAAAGCGTATCCTAACTTTAATCTCTTTAAAGAGTATGGGCTCTTCTTTCTTTCTATTACCATTTTATTTTATTTATTTTTTATGTAGAACTTCTTTAATCATCATTACTAATAGAAAATATGTTAAGCCTTTGGGTAATGCTAATATCATGCATAAAGGGAAATGTTTATAGACCCAAAATTTCCCCCTAGAGCAAGAATGAAACCAAAGGAGTTCTCCCTCTTATCTTTTTTGAAGAAGGTAAAGTAAAATATATCATTAATAATCAAAAAGAAAGCCCCTAAACAACAGGAATGTACTAAAAAAGGAAATAAATTTACAAGTTTCTTTGATTTCTTGATTATGATCCTTCCATATTATTTCGAGAACATAATATCTTTGAGGAATTAATTTAGTTAAGAAGTCCTCCACAAATCTCTCTAGGGAATTAATTTATTTCAAATGCAATTAATTTTGTCATTTCCACTATTATCAGTTTTAAACACGGTTGTCAAGATTTCTTGAGTACAAAAACTGCATGACTGCTATTTGGTTACCAATAAAAGATTTGCCCTTCTCCACAATTACAAGTCTTTGTCTTCAACTTAAAACTGCTTACCTACAAAAAGGACTTACCATTCATTGGATATAGGGCCATTAGTATAATCTTTTTTATTTATTTATTATTATATTTTTTGATAGAGGGTGGGGGGAGGAGTGTTCGGACACTAGGATCGGATAGCGTTCAGTTGGCAAGCAGTACTTGCTTTCTATGTTAAACTACTTGATAGTATTTAAAAATATTAATCTTATCTGTCAATACATACATCTCTCTTTTAGGAATGGTTAGGACTTAGGATAATAATAATTAAAGCATATTTGTCAAGGTGTCACTTAGGCGCCCATGGCTCGCCTACACCATGAATTATAGCAACAAGGCACCTGTCTAGGTGACAAAAATGACAGGGTGGCAGCCTTTTATAATAACATTCATGTTGCTTTATCTTACTAATATGTGTGTTAATACATTCTATTATATACTATATATACCATTTATACAATGCTTATTGAAATTT